TTTAAGGTCATGCTACTAGGACGATGTGGTTTAAGGTCGTGGAACTAAACCTTCGCTACAGTTAAAGGTCGTATAGTTTGGACCATGCAATTTAAGGTCATGCATCTAGACCATTGTGTGGCACTGGATCACCTGTGGAATCATTTTGCTAATTCAATCTCCCTGTTGTTTATGAGATTCTGGATAATTTCTCCAATGGAAATACACTCCTCAGTCTTGTGACCGAGTAACCTTTGATATTGGCAATAATTGGGCTCGTCATCTCTCCCAACTTCCTTTGGTCTTTTCGATGCAGGAAGTTCGATCACTCCCTTTGATAAGAGACTTTTGAAAGGAATAACTCTTGTGTCAAAAATAATTGTTTTTGTTCTTGGGGATGTCGAGTCTTTGATCTCCTTGTGGCCACAGAGTCTGATCAACATAAGCTGGGGGAGATTTCTGGTAGTGACCGGGCTTTCCTGCTGCTGAGGTACCTCATATGTTTGATGCTTTGGCTATCAATCGTTTTACTAGTCCTCCAGTCCCAATCTGAAGAAAGGATGGAGAAGGGACTGGCAATGAGGGAGGCGAGGGTGGGAGTAATTCATCAATTGATGGCCCTGTTTCGATGTCCAGGAGAGGTGCTTAGCGACGGTAAATGAGACTTGGTGCCCCGAAGGAGTATGCTCATGCTTATGTGACTTCAACACCACTTGACGCAAGGTTCTTAACGTTTCGCCTTTCAACCTCATCTCGCCCTGAAATTGCCTCAATGTGGCCTTAAACTGCACGACCTCGTCTTCATAGGCTTTCAATACTTCACTGACCGCTCCTGTTTCACCCTTAGCTGTTCTGAAGGGCTCCTTACAATTAAGAGAGGAACTGAACCTTCTATCATCATCCTTAGGGGGACACATCATGGCACAAGGTGAGCAGGGCATTGGCTTTATGGTGAGTCGTGTTATTTCCAAGGCATGGAGGAGACACTTGAACAAGGCTGTCAAGAGGGAAAGAGGAGCTCGCTTCATCCAGTATTGGGTAACATTTTTCCTCGGATGAGATTGACAGGTGTTGAAAGGTATTTTTCATCAACATGAGGCCTGCTCAATAAAAGCCTAGCAAACAGTGGAAATTCCGACAGTCTCAAAATAGCCCCAGAACTTGCCAAGATCTTCATGAGGTCTCTCAAAAGCCTCTTATCAACTTTCGTCACATTCCGACACGTCTAAGGCAGTGCATACTAAGAAAATAGTTCTAGCAAAATCGGCCCCTAGCACCTTGAAACGAACCCTATAACTAGACCTATATTTTTTGTTTCTCAATTTGCTGTGGGACCACCACCATTGGAATGGGCACAGCTGAAAACCCTTACGGGTGAAATTTTAGCTCGAACAGACACTCTAAGAATAAGTTATAAAGAAAAGAGTGAAATAGGAGGGGCCGCACGTTATTCCCTTGTGGCCACCCTGCAACTCCACGCCATAGAAGGGACAGTCACGATCAGTAAATTTCGACGATCATATCTCAAATGTCTCAAGTTGGATCGCGCTCAAATTCGATGAGCATGTTTGTCTAGTCAAGACAAGCGACTCGATCTGTGGCACGCCCCATGACGACAACCGATCGCGAAGAAACGCTAGAGAGAAGTTACTGATCCGTGAAGAAAGTGCACGAAATCCCGCAGTGTTGTGTCTTGCTCAAGCGGCTGGATCATGTTGCTCACCAGCCTGATCGACACCTCGGGTTTCAGGGGGGACCCGGGACGTTTTAAGATCGCTCTTTCAGGAACCTCATTCGAGAACAAGGGCAGATATTACCAACTGATAAGAGAGGAATTTAAGGTGGGTTTAGGACTTACTCGGGCTGGCTCGCGTGGGCGCCCTCTTAGATCATGAAGAAAGCCCACTAGTAGTAAAACTGGTCCGAAATCGCCTCCTTGGCTTGTACTCTCCTGTTTTCTACAATCACACACATATGGCAAAGGTTATAAGAGAGGTGGGTCAGCAGACCTGACCTTTCCTTCTTGATGAATACATGCAAGCGTACACATTCAAAGATAAAAAGAATAATGAGAGAAGAAAGGTGGGGGAGAAATGAATTTGACTAGGCGGGGAGATCAACACAGTGATTTAGCTTGTAGGTAATTGGTCTGACGTGGCAGTAAAACGGGCTCAGTAACTCAGACCGCTTCAACAGAGTTACTACTAGACGTCAATACTGATATTGACTATCTAGGCGTGATGGTTAGTCTGTCCTGGCAATAAAGCGAGCACATTAATTTTTGCACAACAACATTACGGCTAGACGACAGGGCTATCATCTCAACCCCTCTTAGTCAAATGAAAGGATAACAGAAGGCATGGAAATCATAAAAGAGAGAATAAGAAGTAAGAGAATAAGAGGAGAAGAGAAAGAAAGAAAGGAAGGGAAAGAAAGAAGGAGAAGAGTGTGAGAGAAGAGAGAAGGAAGGAGAGAGGAGGGAGAAGGACATAATAGGCATCAAGTGTTGCCGGTTGTGTTGGAACAAGAAGAGAAAGAAGACACAGTCGACGCTAGGCATCGCTGGCTGAGTTAGAAGAAGAAGAGAGAAAGGACACAGTCGACGCTAGGTATCGTCGGCTGTGTTAGAGAGAGAGGGGGCAAGAAGGGGACAGTCGATGCTAAGCATCACCGGCTGTGTTTTTTAAGAAGAGAGGAGAGAGAAAGACACAGTCGGCACAAGGCATTGCCGACTGTGTTTTAAGATGAGCGGAGAGAGAAAGACACAATCGATGCTAGGCATTGACGGCTGTATTTTAAGAAGAGTGGAGAGAGAAAGACACAGTCGGTGCTAGGCATATCCGACTGTGTTTTAAGAAGAAGAATAGAAAGGAGATAGGGATGAGAAGAAGAGAAAGAAAGAAAGATAAAGATGAGAAGAAGAGAGAGAAAGAGAGATAGAGACGAGAAGAAGAGAAAGAAAGAGATATAAAGATGAGAAAAAGAGAGAGAAAGAGAGATTGAGACGAGAAGAAAAGAGAGAGAGAGATAGTGAGGAGAAGAAGAGAGAGAAAGAGAGAATGAGGGGAGGAGAGAGAAAGTTAACTTATCGAAGGGTATCAGCCCGTTTCTTCTCTCTCCTCCGTCTCTCTCCAAGACACACCCACGAGCTTAAGAAAAAATGAAGTATTTATTGAATCTTTAATAATGAACCCAAGGGGATTTTACAATTTGGCTTTACATGCTTATATTAAATTGGGCCCAAACATGGGTGGATGACCAAAAACTACCTGGAATTGAAGATAATTACAATTTAATTGAATTAATAAAAATTCTAAAAATGGGTCCAAAAAGAATGTTTTGTCCCTGCCTAACAATGTGTGGAATTTCAAAACAGTCCTTGTTGGTGCCCGAGAAGTTGCATCATCTTCCATGCCTGATCAGGGGTTATTTTGATGCCCGTTTGATTGAAAGATGATTAGTTTCTTGTGGGGCTTGGCATGACGATCGATTTGATACCAACTTCGAACCATGATCTTGAAACTTGAAATTTGCTCAAATATTGAAAACTTTAGATCGATTGTGTGCTCATTTCTTAATGTTTTTCTTCAGTTTATTCGCTGAATCACACTAAGCATGTCGTCACAATCACAGTGCAACAAGTGCAGATCGATTTTGTGTCCGGATGAAGACTTCATTGTCATGCTTTTTTTGCCAAGATCTTGAAATCCAACGGCTGGAATTTATAGCATCTTTGATGCCTCTATGTGTGAAATCCAACCATTCATCGTACGCGGGGTTCGGACCAAAGATAGCCATGGACCTCACACACATAATGCAAGTGGTTTCATGTTGATCGAGTATGCGACCGCCATGATTTGGCAGCTCGAGTGAGGCATGTTGCTGCTGAATTTTCTGTAATTTTCTTCACGGATCAACAACTTCTCTCTATTTTTCTCCCTGCTCGGGCATCGTCATGGGGTGTACCACATATTGAAATGCTCGTCTTGATGAGACGAACATGCTCAAATTTTGAGAGTGATCTAACTTAAACAAGTGAGATATAGCTCTCGAAAGTCATTGCTTGTGACTGTAAAAACAACCACCTTTAATGGAGTTTTGGTGCAGGGTGGCCACAAGGGAATAGTGTGTGGCCTACCCCTTTTGGTATTTTACCCCTAACTTTGTCTTGGAGTGCCCGATTAATCCGAAACATAACCCATTGAGGTTTTCGACTATGTCGGATTCAATGGCGACAGTCCCACATGCACCAAAAATATAATTCTAGTTACGGGGTCCTTTTCAGGGTGTTAGAGGCCGATTTTGTTGAAATTGTTTTTTTGTGTTCACTGCCTTAGACATGTCTGATTGCGGTGAAACTTAGTAGGTGACCGGTTGGAGTGTTGATAAAGATCTTTACCGATTCTGGGGCCATTCTAAGACTGTCAAAATTTCTACTATTTTGTAGGTTTTTTTGACCTGCTTCCTCCTTATTCCGTATCGGGGACAAGGTGCTGAAAAATGCATTCAAAGAATATCAGCAAGTGAAGGCCGAACATCAAAAACCCGTCGGACTGTTGCTGCCCTTGCCCATACCAGAGTGGATGTGGGAACACATTACAATGGATTTTGTTTCTAGATTGCCTAAGTCAAGTGCTGGAAATGATAGTATATGGGTCATTGTGGACCGATTAACTAAGGCTGCTCATTTCTTACCGTTTCCCATGACTTATGCCCTGGATAAGCTGACCTAGTTCTACATCAAAGAAATTGTAAGATTACACGGTGTACCCATCAGCATTGTGTTCGACAGAGACACTAGGTTTACCTCTAGATTTTTGGCTGGCCTATAGTCAGCTTTGGGGACCGAACTTACGTTCAGCACTGCCTTTCATCCCCAGATATATGGGCAATAAAAAAGGACCATTAAAACCCTGGAAGATATGCTAAGGGCGTGTGTCATTGATTTTAAAGGAACCCGAGAGGACCATCTGGCCCTGATAGAGTTTGCCTACAACCATAGCTTCCAAGCCAGCATCAAGATGACACCGTATGAGGCCCTATATGGGAGGAAGTGTAGATCGCCCATCTGCTGGGGTGAGGTGGGCAAGAGGAAATTACTAGGGCCTGAAATAGTCCAGATAACTTATGAGAAGATTGCCTTAATTAAAGAGTGGCTCAAGACGGCCCAAAGTCGGCAAAAGCGTTATGCCGATAATCGCAGGAGAGACCTCGAGTTTGAAGTAAGTGATCGAGTCTTCTTCAAGATATCACCGACCAAGGTTATTACGAGATTTGGCAAAAAAGGAAAGTTGTGCCTGCGGTATATTGGGCCCTTAGAAGTTCTGGAAAGAGTTGGGAACATGACGTATCGACTTGCCCTGCCACCTGAACTGGCTAATATTCACAATGTCTTTCATGTATCATTGATGAGGAGCTATCAACCTGACCCTTTCCATGTTTCGGAATATGAACCAATCCCACTCAAGGAGGGCTTGACCTATGTTGAACAACCAATTGGGTTATTAGACCAGAGAATACAAGTTTTACGTAATAAAAAAATTCCCCTGGTTCAAGTGCAATGGCAGTATCACTCAAGAGCTGAAACAAAATGGGAACGAGAGGATGAAATTTGTGAGAAATACCCTCACCTTCTTGATTGACACGAATGTGATTTTGGGGACAAAATCCTTTTAAGGGGGGCATGATGTAAAGACCACAATATTCTCCCTGTCCAAAGACACGAACGCTAATGGAGGGTGAAACAGAGGCTTAACGCTATTTGGAGCATCGCTGCATGTGTATAAGGGCTTAGCACCGTCTGTGACTTAGCACCGTCTGTGAAGTAAAGAGGAGAGAGAGAGCCAGCGTTGCGCATGTACAGTCAGCGCTACGCATGAAAGTCAGTGCACATGTGAAAAGTCAACGCCACGTGTGAAGAGAGGAATGTGCATCGCCATCTGTGGAAGTGGCCTTACGCCAGCTATGAAGTGAGAGACGGAAGAGCGACGCTGCGAGTGAAGATTTGAGCATCACCGTGACTGTAGCACCATTTGGAGCATCGTCAACACCGTGCATGGCCTGAGAGTAGTGCCGTGGGTAAAAATGGAAGATGTGACTGCTTCCAGCACTGCACTTGTCAGTGTCGTACATGTCAGCTACAATGACCTTCACCTACTCAATTAGCAACAGTGGATCTCACCTACCGTGGGTACTTAATCCCTCCCCCTCCCCCTTTCAATGCCATTTTTCCCCCATTTTTCATCTCTTTCCCTCTCTCTCCAAGGAGCTTATTGCCACTAGTGGAAGAGAGCCCCTCGTGAAGCTCGTGAAGCCTGAGAAGGAAGCGAGTGGATTTGAAGACACCGTGAGGAACAAGTAAGTGGGTTTAGGGCCATGCATCATTTCACGTCATAGGATTTAAATTTAAGTTGATATGAAGATTAAGATGATGGAATGAGGTGGAGGCATATAAATGAATAAAAAGGGACTTGAATGAGTGATGAACTTGATAAATTTATAGAGTAGTTTCCTTGTAAAACTTGCTTAAATTGCTTGACATTAATGAGGTTTGGGCTGGGTTTTATTTTGGTGTGTGAAATGGTGTGTACTATTGGTTAGCATGGTAAAACGTGGGATAAAGGGATTTTCCAACAATTATGAGGGTCTTTGCCTTGGGCTTTTCGATGACCAAACGACTCCCAAATGGGCTAAAATCAGTCTTGAATGAAAGATATGCGTGTCTATTTTTATGTTTTCTTTTTATACCCAGTTAAAATTTTGTATGGATAAAAGATATGCCCCAAATGTTGGTGCGGGTCACTACCCACAGTCGCGGTAAATCCCAGAAACTGTGACTCATTGTGTGCCGCACTTTGGGCCTACCAAACGGTGTTCAAACATCTTCAAACCTCCATCGTTTGAAAGATCAGTGAATAAGCTTAAAGTTGCATGTCTGATAATTTTGAAATTCCCGGAAAATTGAGCGTGATGCCCCGAAATGTGTAGGTACATCACTGCCCACTTTTGCAGGAAATTTCCAACAACTCTCAATCTTTTTGAGTCGAGCTTATGACTTATCAGAAGTTGTTCAAATTCCTTCAAATCACCGTCATTTTAATGCCCCAGGTCTGAAATTAAAATATTGCATGTTTAAAGTATTTCGAAGTTCTCCCTAGATTGGGATATTACACCCCTGAGAAGAGCGGCACGTCATTGTTGCACTTCACAGGATTAGTGTTATGCTCGTCTTCTGCCACCTTTCTCGGAGTTACTCTTTAAGCTATTCAAGTAGTTTTGTAACATCTTTGATAAGTGATAAATGTGAGTACTATGCAATGTTTTACATGTGAATGCCACAGTGTTAAGTGCTAGGTGATAAATGGATAACTGCAAAGCTAATGTGATTATTCTATGTTGAATGTTACATGATAAGTGTCGAATTGCTACTAATGATGTCTAAGCGTAAATTCTGTGTGATAGCTGATGCAATGGATTCTTCATGATAAATGTTATAATGTTTAGTGAATGTTGAATGATTTCGAGTAAGGTTGCACTCTTGCATGATGAAAATTTGAATTATCTGTTGTAATGCACTGATTTATCGTAAATGAGATTAAATGCTTGAGGACGATAAGAGGCCATCCTTATGACCACTACGCAATGGACCACCTATTGGTAGTGGGCACCGTTCTACGATAATATTGTGATACTAGCCATTGTTTCACTGATACTGCTCGTTGCGCGATGGGACACCCATCGGTAGTGAGGATTGTTATACTAAGGAAAGTGATGCCAGCTATATCTTCTAACTTGCTGAATGATATGATGTAGTTAGTGGAAAGTGAAATGGGAGGGCCGCACACACCGAGATTTACTGAGATGAGACTCACGACTGACGCCTTGCAAGATAAGTGCCTATCGAACCCCCAATGCACGTTGGGGGCCTTGTGCGTGTGTATGAGGGCATTACGAAGTGGATTTCCCCACTTGTCATTGCCCTCCCTCTTAAGAGATGGTAGAGGTCCTAAGCAATGGGTTTGGCTTAGCCCGATGGATAGGGTCTCTATTGCAGGAGTAGGTGAGTTAGGGAGTGAGTGGGTAATGATTGAATAGTAATTGTGAATGTCGATGATTGAATCGATTGAATGATAACTGCTATATGGATAGAATGTTTATAAGTGATGCTAGACATGATTGTTGATTCTCTTGACTGCTGCATTGAAACTCCGTATAGTTAAATAAACTGTTTATGATTCATGAGTAAACTCATTATTGATGCATAGCGCTTAAACCTACTTACTGAGATGTATAACTCATCCCATTTCTCTCTCCCGTCCTTGTAGACTACTAACAATATGTCAAGAGTTGGAATGGCGGGGATTCCTGAAGGAGGATGAAGCTAGGCTTTTGAAGGTGAGATCTAGATCTTGTATGTGGTTGGGAAGTTTGGCCTTGGATTTTGTTTATTACATAAATCTATAAATTTTGAGCCCTGATGCCCTAGACTCAAATGTAATGTTTTTGGACGAATTTATGTAAAGCCCTTTAGTTAATGTATGGAGCTTTAAATAAAAATTCGCCCCTGTATTTAGCATTATTGATGTATTTATCTTTCCATGGTTTGCTTTGATCATCAAAATAATGACGTTGAATTTACCTTGACCTAATTGACAAAAGCTACATCAGGATCACGAATCTGCGCTAGGTCACCCTCTGTCACGTGTGGTAAGGCGGTCGAGGGCGGGGTCATGACGGGCACGGTCATTGAGACTGGCACAACTGCTTAACTACTCGATGACAGAACCAATACCAACCAGCTTGACATGATGGCTAGGCTAACATGGCAACAAGATGGGCACGGTAACTCAGACCAACACGTCGACTAAACTACTCGACGATAATACTTGCATGATAGTGTTAGACTTAGCATGTCCCTAGGTCAAACGAGAGGAGTGAGAGAGAAGGAGAAAAGAATGAGCGGGAGAAAAGAGAAGAGAAGAAGGAGTGAGAGAAAAATAGTAAGAGAGAAGATGGAAGAAAAGCAAAGAGAGAAAGAGAGAGGAGAAGAAAAATAGAAGAAGAGAGAATGAGAAGAGAAGAGAAGAGAAGAGAGAGATGAGAGAAGAGAGAAGAAAGAAGAAAGAGAGGAGACAAAAGAAGAAAGGAGAAAGAAGAGACAGAGAAGAAAGAAGATAGAGAAGGAAGAAGAAGAGAAGAAAAAAAAGAAGAGAGAAGAAGATGAAGAGAAGACGAGAAGAGATAAGAGAAGAAGAAGAAGAGAAGAGAAGAAAATTCTCATCCTATATATATATATAAGAAGACGAAGAGAAGACGAGAAGAGATAAGAGAAGAAGAAGAGAGAAGAGAAGAAAAGAGAGAACAAGAAGAAGAGAACAAGAAAAGAGAAGAGAGGAGAGAAGAAGAAGAAGAGAAGCGAAGAGATGAGGGAAAAAGAAGATAAGAAGAAGAGAAGAGGAGAGAGAAGAAGAAGAAGAGGAGAGAAGAAGTAAAAAGGAGGAGAGAAGAGAGAAGAAGAAGAAGAGAAGGAAAGAAGAAAGAAGAGAGAGAGAAGCAGGAAAAGAGAGAGAAGAGAGAGGAGAGAAGATAGAAGAGAAGAAAGAGATTACAGAAGAGAGGAAAATATCAAAGAAGTAGAGAAAGAAAAGAAGAGAAGAGAGAAGAAGAAGAAGAGAAGAGAGAAGAAGAGAGAAGAGAAGAGAAGAGGAGAAAAGAAGAGAGAAGAAGAAGGGGAGGAGAGAAGAGAGAAGAAGGGGAGGAGAAGAGAAGAGAGAAGAAGGGGAGGAGAAGAGAAGAGAGAAGCAGAGAGGAGAAGAAGAAGAGAATAAGATAAGAGAAGAGAGAAGAAGAAGAAAGAAGGAGAGAAGGGAAGAGAAGAAAAGAGAGAAGAAGAAGAAGAGAGGAAGAGAAGCGAAAAGAAGAAGAGAAGAGAGAAGAAGAAAAAGAAAAGAAGAGAAGAGAAGAGAGAAGAAGAGAAGAAGAGAAGAGAAGAGAGAAGAAGAAGAAGAGAAGAGGAGAAGAGAAGGGAAAGAAGAGAGAAGAAGAGGAAAGACTAGAGAGAGGGGAGGGGACAGAAAGTACGAGAGAGAGAAGAGTAGGGAGAGAAGAGAAAGAGATAGGAAGAAAGAAGAAGATGAGAAGAGACAGAAAAGGGAGAAGAAAGAGGGAAGAAGATCAGGGGAGAGATGAGATATATGTCATGGATGGCGATAGTCATTGCCGTTCATGACATGAGGGGGAGGAAGAAAGTACAATGGATGGTGATGGGTTCTACTGTCCATGACAGAGGAGAGAGAAAGAGGAAAGGAATGTGGATGGTGATGAGCTCCATTATCCATGATAGTGGAGAGAGAAAGGGGGAGAGAGAGAGAAGAAACATGGACGACAATGCGCTCCACCATGCATGGGAGAAGGGCGGAAGAGAAAAGGGAAGAAGAAACATAGATGACGATGGGTTCCACCGTCCATGATAGGAGAGAGAGTGTAAGAGAGAACATAGATGACGATAGATTCTACCATCCATGATAAGAGGAAGAGAGATAGCAGAGAGAAAAGAAAAGACACACACGATAATAGGCATTGTCGTCCGTGTCAAAAGAGACTCAGACACGACCTACCACTTGGGAAAGGGCTCAATGTCCTT